CGAGGAGTACTATAGCTATCTCAAGACACTGGAGTTCGAAGGCACAAGACATCCTCATCGGGAAACGATGGCTGCTTTGGGAATCGCTGAAGATATCGACTACCTTGCTGAGACGTGCGGTTTAAAAACCTTCCTGGGGTATAGTTTCGAGGGGTATCAAGAGGAGACCTGCCAGCTCCTAGCTACTCTCGACGTACACTTCTACGCGGATGAACAAGAAGAAGAGAATGGGAGAGGTTTTGGATACATCACGTTCTCTGTCAAGGGAAGAGACTACTCACTAACGATCAGGGAGCTTAATCTCTTGTATGGATTCCCGAGCAAAGAGGGATTGGTTCAAGATTTCGATAAGCGCGAACTCCAAGCCTTCTGGAAGACAATCGCCGGACCAGGAGATTACAAACCTTCGAAAAGCAAGAGCTCCTCTATTAGAAGCCCAGTGGTGAGGTATCTACACCAGTCCATTGCTAGCATGTTCTTTGCAAAGAAGATCACCGGTACCATAAGTGAAGGTGAACTGCAGCTTCTGGACTTAGCTCTCCTATTCACCTTGCGAAACACTAGTGATGGAGCAGAAATGGTGGGAGATAGAGGAAATGCTCCTCTAATAGCCGTGTTCTTGGATCATTTATTGGGATACAAGGAGTATGCTGCAAACATGCATAGGTCAGGGCGCAAAGGAAGCTTGACCATTGGCGGAATTCTGACACCAATTCTGGTAGCTGCGAATATAGACGTGGGAACAGGAGACTCTTCCCCAACTTGGATCGATATGGCGTACTTAAGGAAGAAGGGCTATCTTGATAAAACAGCTCCTGAAGGCGTGTTGCTCTATGTGTTCAACCACCCTGAAGAAGGAACTTCTAGGCTGCTTCTACCATGCACGAATCACACCACGATTAGAGCTGGTGAGAACATCGACTTCTGCCCACCATCCTTCATCCTCTACGATTCACAAGTCGCCCCTGCCTCTCCACCGCCTCAAGCAATGCACGAGGACGACCAGGAGCAAACCCAAGACGCTCCTGATGATTATGCACCAGAGCGGTTCTTCTTCGAGGAATACAAAGCTCCTAGGCAGACCAAAGGCGAGAGAGAAGCTCACAAGCGCATAGGACTCCTGCAAGGATTGGGAAAGTTTCAAGGGAAGGCGATGCGAGGATTGTCCAAGAAGGTAGACTCATTGACCACAATGGTTAAGAAGATGGCGCTTCAGATCACAGACCTCCAGAAGAAGTCCAAGCATTCTCCATCATCATCAGAAGAGAGAGGTACTTTGAGAAGAAGCGGTTCCTCAAGCATGGCTCCACGACACGCGGTAAGGGCTGATCCTCCAAGATATTCATCCTTTGAACCACGCCAGAGGGAAAGCCAAGAGGAGTCTACACCACTCCCCAAACGTTCGCAAAGCCATCGCAGGAAAAGGAAGGTTCAGAAGCCAAGTCCAGAGGCAGACTCGACCATGGAACTCGACGACACGTCGAGACAGCACGTCGAGACTGCTCCAGAGCCAACTAATCCTCCCTACATGCAAGACAACACCAACGTCGAGCAGCCTCCTCCAGAGTCAAGCACAGCTCCTTCTTACACGCAGGAGAGCATGGATGAGTTCCTCGACACCTACTTCGGATAAAACCAAAGTACCACTCATCCCCCTAAACCATTGTACTATTTCATTGCATTAGTTTGTTTTTCTGTTTCGTTGTTTGTTTCTCTTGAGCTCTCTTCTGAATTTTTATTACACAAGGGACTGTGTAATTTAAGTTTGGGGGAGAGTCCAAGAAGTATTTGATGTTGTGTTCTGTTTTCTTATTGCATAATCATCTAAGGCATAGAAAAACCAAAAAAATTTGAAAAATTTCGAAAATTGTAATACAAAAAAAGAGTGTTCATGTAGTTCGCATTGCCATTTTAAGACTGTTTTAGTATGCTTTCATATAGGACTGTTGCATCATGCATTGGAGATTATGATGATTTTAACCTTGTAAATATGCTTATTCACTAAGTAGAACTCAGTGCCCTGGTTGTTAGTTCTCTAATGCATAATCGACTGAACTTGAAGTAAGACCGCACCATCTCTTGAATTCAACGCTTGATTTTCTTGTTCTTAGTCGAATCTCGCTTTGATCTGATGCCATTCCCTATCTATTTGAACTTGAATTTTGACTTATAATTATCATGCTGTGCATTGTGCTATGAACTCATGGATACCTTAAAATACTTGGACTTTCTTTTACCTTTTGATCACTCTTGCTAGTCCAAGTAGCTGACTCCCATCTTTGGAGCAGTTATTCCCCTACCCTTAGCCTAACCTTCTTTCAAGCCATTTATCATTTGTGTGTGAATGTGAGGCCTTATTTCGATTGAGCTTGGTAGAAAGTGTTAGGTCTGTAACGACAAGGATAGTATCTCATGTAGTTCTGGTTCACGCTATCTGGACCAGATAGGACTAGGTGGGTGCTTAATTATGGGTTTGGGATGTTCTTAAAAGAAAGAAAAGGTTGTGATCATCATTGAAAGAAAAGAAAAGGGAAAAGAGTCCTAGGGAGAAGTAGCTAAAGTAAGAAAAGTCTAGTAAAGGATTTGGGAATGTTATAAAGTAAAGAAAAAGGGTTCTGTAACAGCTTAAAGAGAAGGGGTAAAAAGCCTTATGTTATAAGAAGAAAGAAAAGGGAACCCTAGTTGTTGAAGTATCCTAATCCGCTAGACAAAGCAAAGTAAGAAAGCTTCTCCTAGGATAGAAAAGCAAAGACAAGAAAGAAATGGTGTGAGTAAAGGTCTGTAAATGCTTTGAATGCAAAAGGGTAGAGTTAAGTTCATGTTCTGGGATTAGAAATAGGACCTCCATTTGGGTTGATATTGGTTACATTCTGGGTAGATGGGGTCCTATCCTTGTATGCATAACTTGATACTCACCTTTAGCCTTCTACTAAAGCTCAATCATTCTTGAGAGATCCCCTGTTGCGATTTGAACCAGATCTTTAAGGGACCATCTTTGTCTCTAAAACCTTTACCCTTTAGCCAAATGTGTTCATATCCATTGCATAGTATGATTCACGGTTCCTACTTAATAAATGTTAAAGGGAATGTGCAGATTTGAATGCTTGATTTGATTAAGGCAGAGGTTAGGTTGAGATGTGAAGGAGATGGCTAATGTTTTTAAGTAGAGATCAGTCAACCTTGCATTCTAGAATTAGCAACCTGGACATTGAATTCACTTACTCTATATGCATGTTTTGGTTCTGAGTCTCCACCTTCAAACCTCTTCTCCAGCTTAGTTCTGTTTGTTTGCTTGAGGGCAAGCAAGAGCTAAGTTTGGGGGAGTTGATATCTCTCTATTTTACCACTTTTAAGCTTACTTTTCTCATACATTTAGCTAAGTTTTATCACTCTTTCATTGCATCCAGAGTCCTTTTCATATCATTTTCATCACTTAGTACGTTTTGCATTGCATGGCATAGCATGTTGCATATTGGGTGAGTTTCAGGTGCTTTGGAGTTTACTTTGGGACTTAATGGAGCAAGGAGGAGCCACACAACCTTGGAACTAGACTTGGGATCGAGTTGGAGAGGAATGAAGCCAATCGAGAGCATCCAGAACCGGTCTCGACGTCATGGGCTCGACAGGAGGTCGGGCTAGTGCCCAGAAGCCACCAAGTGTCAGTCTCGACCTACCAGGCTCGACGTGCAGTCGAGTGAGACGTGAAGAAGCTGAGGAGGAGCAGTCTCGACGTGGCTGGCTCGACGTCACGTCGAGTTGGTCTCCGCCGACTCTCTATTTTGTCCTGTAGCTAATTAGGGCAACCTAGTATTTTCTATAAATAGGGGTTCACCCTTTTATCCAGCGGATATTCCTATTACCCAGCGGATATTGAGCCGTTCTCTCTAAAAACCCTAGTTTTGTAATCGTTTTTCCCTTTGATCCTTTGGATTTCGTTTCTTCATCAAAGTTGTAGATCTCCTTCTCATCTATAACATACTTGCTTTTCAATGATTTCTGGGTTTGAAGCATTTTCTGAGTTTTTATGCATGATGTTCTTCAGTGTTCTTGAGTAGTGGATTAGGGTTCTTGAGGATGGGTTAGATTAGGTGTGGAATCTTTAGTATATTTAGGTGGTTAAGTGTAGAATTGCTTGATTTCCCTTCTGGTTTAGTAGATCTTAATGCTATTTCTTCTCTGATCAATTGGAAATAGATCTCAGACATTTCCACACCCACAAGGTGTTTGATGAAATGTCTGAACAAACTTTTCCAGAGATTTGCATACTCTAGCCCAAGAGATTGGATGTTTAGAATGCTTATTGACTTTATTAGATTGAATCATAATGCCTGCTAGGTTATATTTCTTCAATGAGAATTGAGTATGAAAGTGATTTAGCTTGAGAATCTCTGTCACGAGAGTGGATTGATTTGTATTCGAATCTATTGTCTAGGGATAGCTTGATTGAGTTTGTTAACCACCTAGATAGACTAAGGAGACTGCTATAATCGATTACCCCATTCCTCAGGACCCTTTATCTCTATTGATTGCTTGATTATCGTTTCTGTTAGCTTTTGTGTTCTACTCGACCTGCTTGCTTATTACTGCTTAGTTTTGATAGTCATTTCTCTTTATGCATGTTCATTCATGTTCTGTAGCTTTATCGTTTTATGCATGTTCGCTTAGGATTGTTAGATAAACAAACCCCTATTCTGCTTGGCTTGACTTAGTATTCTCTGATCACATCTTGATTGATAATTAGAGCACCTGATTGGATTGATAACCTATTATACTGCAATGACATGAAAGTATATTAGGGTAATTGATAGCAAAAATCCTAGTATCAGTGCGTAACAAAGAACTAACATATGATGGTTTAGATTTCATTGTATCTTATTGTTTAAGGTAGAACAAAAACTAACTTATTAATTTAGATCAGTCCAGTTTAAATTTTAAACATGTATCATTTTATCCACTAATAATTTGAATGTTAAACGCTTCTTTATTGTTATTAATTTCTTAATTCACATATAGAGAGGACTATTCAGATCGCATTGAAGACAAATTTTTATTTTGATAAAATATTATTTGTTGATGTATTATGCAAGAAATGATTTCGGAAAAGAAAAATCAAAAGAAGATTTTTGTGATATTAGTTGTTTCTCGTTTGAGATAGGGGATGTAAATGTGTTATAGTGGTCGGCTGTAACACAATTAAGCTATTATTGTTCTTTAAAGGAGAGTGATTGCTCGAGTAATTACCCGAAACACTTAACCGCAAGGCAATATATACGGGATCGATCCACAAGAACCAATGATACACTAAAGACTTCGGAGACTTGTTCTTAGTTAAAGCGAAAGGTTGTTTTGTTTGGGTTTTCAGACTTGTAAATAAAAATGCAATTAAAATAGATGATTAAACTTATGAATTAAAGACATTGGGCCATTTGTTAAAAAAAAAAAAAAAAGACATTGGGCCATATGATATTTCAAAAGACAATGACTAGCGGGATAAACGAAACAAGAAATTCATAAATGAAGAACCATTCTCAACTATGAACACAATTCTAGACTAACTCTCTTTCAAGACATTAGCTAATAAATTCGACTACTCAACTACTAAACTTTCATTTGTAGTTTCCTAATCACATTCGCATTTACGAGTTGGTTCATTTCGTTCACAATGCGTTCTAACGTCAACTTTTGTTGGTTAGAAACACATTGCTCAATATACATTCATTCAGACATTCTATCGAACACTTTTGATGCATAGAAAAATCTAGAATCTACAACAGAGTGATCAATCCTATTCTAGCATTAAGAACATGTCAAGAAGGATGAATCTCTAGAATCCCAAAAAGCTTACAAGAGAGAACTCTCAAAAGTTGCAGAAAGAAAACGTGTTGTGAAAAAATTAGGTCTCTGAGTTTTTATACCCAATTACAGAAAATAAGATAAATTCGGTTAAGGAAAACCTGAACTGGGCATCAGACAGTTGCCCGATGAGATTTGCCTGATACTATTCTCCAACGGATTTTTGGGCTGGAACCCAAAATTGTGCATCAGGCTGTTGCCTGATGAGATTTGCCTGATGCCATTTTCCAGCAGATTTGGGCAGGAAACTGGAACTGTGCATCAGGCAGTTGCCTGATGAGAATTGCCAAATGCCATTTTCTGTCAGATTTGTCTTGGATCACCATATTCCTATTTCATCTCATAACGCCCGTTTTTGATACTAAAAGCCTCCAACACCAGCATAGCTTCCTAAAACCTGTAGAGACTCGATAAAAAACTGAAAGACTCTAAAAACATGCTTTGACTCTATAAAAGATATGATCTAGGAAAGAAAACAAAGACTCAAAACCGATAAAAACACAACATATCAGAGAGAAAGTTAACGAGGAAAAGGAACCGCCAATTATCTCAAAAAAGCATTGGGATATCTTTGATGAAGTTGACGAAAATAAGAAGGAAGAGAAGTAGGAGAAAATAAGAAGAAGAATAAAGGATTTGTAGGATGTGTTGAAAAAATTAGGGTTTTGTTTGTTGAGATATTAATCTGGTAATATTTTGGTAATTTCAATGGTTATTTTAATACTTTTCTACAAATCTACTTCTTATTAGACTCGAACAATATCAAGCCTTTTACATTTTTTGGTGTTGTAGTGTAAGTTGATTGGAAGCATGTTTAGAATAGAGATCTCTCAATATTGTTGTAAAATTCATCCATAACAAACATGAATAAAGACTTGGGTTTTGTATTTTTTTATGCGGACGCAATTCTCGCATCGCCAAGGGTATATCAACTATGTGCCAAAAGCTATGATTGAGAACGACGATCTAACTGTATTTTTACCTTATTATTATTATTATTATTTTTTAATTAGAATTTCTATTAATTATACTTAACATCAATATAAATAAATATGAATTAAATGGACATTGTAGTTAAAATTTAATGTAAGAAAATAAAAAGTATTGATGACATGACTTTGTTTAATTGGATTTTTAACATATGATATGGAGATTTTAAGAGAAGAAAAAACACTCATATATATATATATATATATATATATATATATATATATATATTAATACTAGTAAAAAATTTATAGTATTATTTTTACTATATATTAAAATTTCATTTATTTGATATAATTGATTTTTATTTAGTTAAAATTTATATTAATTATAACTAATATCAATATAAATAAGGGCCATCTAAATAAATATGAATGAAATGAACAAACACAGCAAAAACAAGACTTTTCTTTATCTTTGGCTATATTCACAAACATAAAATGTTTCAGACTTTGTATTGCTAATTGGTAACACTTCCCCTCCCCCAATTTTTTTTTCTTTCTTTTGTACGTAAACCTCACTTCTCCTCGACGAGGTTCACAGTAACAACAATATTAATATCACGACCTTAATAACTTCGCAGCGACGTGTGGCTTCACGAAGAGGGAGTTATACACACATATATTCACGAATACATACACTAACAAACCCTTTTTCTCATTTGTTATGTCACTTGCGCCTTTAATGGGACATTGTAATTAGACTTTAAGGTAAACAAAAAAATGACCGATGACATGGCTTTGTTTAATTGGATGTTTAACATGATGATATGAACATCTTAAGAGGAGAAAAAACTCTCTCATTATATATATATATATATATATATATATATATATATAAATTGATGGTTGTGGTGATAATTAATGATTACTAGTTAAATTTGACACTTGGGTTTGTGAGTCATGAAATGATGATTTTTTTTAATTGAATATTTTGTATGTTTGTTTTCTACTAGCAACGGCGATCATGAATCCACATGTTGGCCTCGGATTTGGCCTCCCCTTCCCCCTCACAACCAAACCCTCCTGTCGTATCTCCATCGGTCAGTTTTCTTTTTGGTGTTATATGTTTATGCTCTCGAGACTATTGAAGAAAAAGTTTTGACCACCATCCCCTCCAAAATTTTAGAAAATGACAAACCTCTACGGAAAAATTCATTCTAGGAAATTTCATTGATCATACTCGAACGTTAACAAATTTGGTGCAATTAAAAACAATATTATGACACTGGCAACAAGAAATCAATAATAGATGTTCACTTTTTAAATATAAATTAATAACGCATAATGCTGCATGCATTCTCAATCATAGCTTTTGGCATATAGTAGATATACCCTTGGCGATTCGAGAATGGCGTTTGAACAAAGAAGACAAAGCCCAAGTCTTCATTCGTGTTTGTTATGGATGGATTTTACTACAATACTGAGAGATCTATATTCAGAACATCATTTTTTTGGCGAGTCTTGGACGTATCAATGTACTAAACATATTAGAAATGGTCTCTATCAAAAATTAATACAAATTTAAGAAAAGCAAAAAATATTAGAGTCATATTTCACTAAAATCTACGTATAATAGTAATATAAATCTGACATATATAAATTACTTTCATATATATATATATATTGAGAAGTTTATATAATTATTAATTTATGATATTGATGGGATCATATATTTACATAGGTTTTTCAAAAACTTAATGAAAATCTTCAACCCTATATCGATTTGTGCCATTCTTTACATTGTTCCAATTCCGAACTGAAAGAATTTATTAATTTATAGAAGTTATTAATTTATCGAGTATTAATTTATAAAAATCTTATTGTATTTGATTAATCATTCGAGTATGGTTTTCCAAATGCTTCTCTGAACGCAAATATTTTGTGGGATTAAGTTTGTTATCCAAAAAAATCAATTTTTTAAAACTTTTTCCTTACTCTTTCCAAAAACGAGATTTCACAATCAATCATTCGTTGCGAACCAAGCTTCTCTCCCAGATTGATTCTTCATCTTCTTCTCTCTTATGGCGACTCTACGATGAATAACCTCTCAACCTTACCGAATCAACAGAAACCCTAGGGGAAAGATGCAGAAGAATGAGATCGTCGAGTCACCATCGTTGTCACTGGTCTCAGGCAAGGGGAAAGAAGCGAAGTCGTTTGAGAAAGACTTGATGGAGATGCAAGCGATGTTGGAGAAGATGAAGATCGAGAAGGATAAAACAAAGGATTTGCTAAATGAGAAAGATAACATCCTAAGGAAGAAGAAAGAGGAACATGAGACGAAGGACGTGGAACAGAACAAGCTAAAGGTGAAGTTGAAAATCTGTAGAAGATGAAGGAAGTCAAGCTGATAACATGGGATTTTCGACCATATTTGCTATTGTTTTATTATGTTTTATGGAGCATTTGGAGTGATTTCAGAGCCAATAAGGTGTTATTCAATTATTTATGGAGTCAAGGAGGTTTTAAGAGTTTTTGAGCTTTAAAGACCAAAAGGCGATCAAAACCCGTTTCAAGACAGTTTCTGTACGTCAGAAGTATAACGACCGTTCGAGGTCTTCCCGATTACCAAATCAAGAGATCTCGGTGGCTATGGAAAGCTAGAAGAGTCAGAATTCGCCTCAAAGTAGAATCAGAGCTTGGCATTAAGCCGTTCGGAAGTTATGACCAGAAGAGTGAAGACATGTCCAGACCGGCCAGAAGCTATGCAACCGTTCCGGAGCTTCTAGGCCGCACCGGTCACAAGGGCCGAGTCCGGACTGCCTCCTACTCTTCACCCCGGTCACTAAGGCTTTTACCCTGTCCAGAAACTGGAGTTTGCACTTAACCTAATCACGGAAAAAGACGCTTTTACCCCTAAACCTAATCCTTGGTCTCCAAACCCTATAAATACATGTTGGAAGCCCTAAACCTAGGTGTCTTCGAAGTGTGCCTCCCAAGTCCTCACCGAGTTCGTCCCTGCCCTCGCTGTGAGCTGCAGCCGTCGTTCTTGAAGCTTTGAAGTTCCACCAAATCTCTCTTTTCTCTTGTTTACTCTAAGATCTATTAAGGTGAAGTCTTACCTCTTGTATTCTACATTCAAAGAAGTAATCTCTAAACCCTATTCATTTCTTATTCATTTCTTTCTTATGAGTTTATCAAAACTTACTTTGATGATCTCTTTAACCATGCTAGAGTAGTTTTCTAGTTAGGTTTAAAGGGCTAATCAAAGGGGGGACATGATCGATCGTCTACGTGGCGATACTTAGGGTTTTGTTTGATCGTTTACACTGTATTCTTTCTAAGTAAGTTGTTTCTTAATGCATGTAGTTAGATTCATGTCCTAACTCGTGATCCCAAGTGTTTAAATTGCTCACAAGGTTGTTTAATACGCTAGACCTAGCTTACGAATGTGTATCGTGTTATAACAAGCATACACCACTTAGTTATAGGGCTTTATGGACTAGAATGATCTTATTGCTTTGATATATGCGTCGTTGCCTGCGTAGGTTGAGTAACGGAGTATAAAGATTTTAGCCGACTAATTCTATAACATAGGGTTAGCCGGATCTTAGTGTTTCGAATGTCCGAGACTTGGAAGTAAACAAACCTAATTCTAATATTACTTAGATAACGATCATTGAACCCCATGCGATCTCCGTGATGCCCAACGTTTGTCTTTTATTGAATTCACTTGCTATTTACCGCTTTCTTATTTTGCTTTCTTATTGCTTTCATTTACTTTACTTGTAAACCGTGACACCAACCAACAACCCTCTTTTATTGTTTTGTCTTAGCTTTACTCGTTCTAACGACTTGTTCGAACTACTTCTCTCTCTGTGGGATTCGAGCCTTAAATACTACAACCGATTCACTGTGCACTTGCAGTAGTCGTGTGGTCTTTTGAGGTAAAAGATTGAAGCGATAAAATCACACGCATCACAAGCCCAACTTGGTAAGAATTTCTAGATCTAGCTCTAATTCTTCTTCACTTGTATTTTAGTTTTTTTATAAAGGAATCGAGATGCTTTTTAGGAACCATGACCAATCAATCTGGTTAATCTTATGCGTTTAGGAGCTTGTTGATGGTTAATTCGCTTATTGATGGAGTTTGTTGCTAAGTTCATGTTCTATGAAATTGATTCATGATGATTTTTGGGATGTATATATTCAGAAAATCTTGTTAATTTTCCGTGATTAGGAGTTTTTGATGGTTGATTCGCTTATTGATGGAGCTTGTTGCTAGTTCTGGTTCTGTGAAATTGATTAAAGATAATTGATAGAGATTTCGGATGATCTTAGACTAATTTTCATTCATAGATGTCATGTTATTTGGTGATTGATTTTGGGAATATTTATGTTGCTTCCAAAGACTTTCGTTTTTTGTCAATCTTTGGTACAAAGTGACGAGAGAACAAACATAGATGGTCAGATGGACGCCTATTTATTGATGTCATCCAAGGGAATTTGTCCATTCATCTGCTAAGATGGATATTGTGCTCATACACTATATACGTTTTTTGTTATCTTTTGGTTTATTAGACATTTTTTGTAAGATTTATTAAGGAACGAGTCAAATTATTGACTATTGGTTTTATATATATACGTAGAAGATATGGAACCATTTCTCAATTTTTTTCATTTATCGCTCCATGTTTTGCGAATTATAAAATCTTAATAGAAGCCAACTTATTGATTATTTGTTTTATATAAGTACAATAAGACATGGAACTGTTTTTCAAATCTGTTTACTTGTTGCTCCATATTTTGCTAGTTTTAAAATATAAATAAAAGCCAAGTAATTGACATTTAGATTCTTTTCATACTTAAATAACGACGAAATGCTATATAATGATGGGAGTGTCCATACACAAGTGAATACATGGTTAAAGAAAAATGAACAATGTACTCTAAATTAGCGATTATCGTTCATGTATAAACTTGTTATTGGTATGAAACGACCATGTGAGTTACTATATGACCATTTAGACTTGACTGTTTGGACACTAATCAATGGACAAATATCATTGATTTGTTAAAATTTAGGGTTTAGATTTTACGGTTTAGGGTTTAGTGTGCTAAAGCGTCACTTACCCTTTGAAAAATCAATTAATTGGTTAAATTATTATTTTTGCTTCTTAATTATGTGCAAAAAAAACTTGTGTATTGACGATTATCCTTCATATATAAATTTGTGTATTGATATGAAACGACCATGTGAGTTACTAGATGACCATTTGGACTTGACTGTTTGGATACTCATCAATGGACAATTGTGTCTTTGATTTGCTGTGAGTTTGTTTTATCTCTTGGTAATATTATCACTTTGTTAATGGTTACGATTTATATATAGTTTTGAATTTTGGTTTACGGTTAAAATCTAGTGTATGGTTGAACACATGTACAAAGCAAAGTCGTCTATCTCAACTGGAACATCTACATCAATTGATATCGGTTTGGGTTTAGTAGGTAGGGGTAGGGTTTAGTGTTATATGTTTAACAGAAGTTAAATATCGGTTTGAGTTTAGTAGGTAGAGGCAGGGTTTAGTGTTAAGGTGTTGATTGGCTCTCCCGCTATCGCCCGCCTAGCGGTTGCTAGCGGTTTGTTGCGGTTGGTACCAATCATAGAAACTGCTCCAATACCGGTTCGGACTCAAAAGTTCCTTCTCGCAAGCATTTGCGGTTGCGGCCGGTTGCTGTTGGTTTAAAAAAGGAAAGAAACTAAAAAAAAAAACTTAGCAAATTAAAATGTATATTATCAATTCCTTTATATATTCACAGTTACTTTTTTAAATAAATAATCATTATCTAACATTAATTTTTCCAATATTAATAATTATTTGAGTTTCACTATAAAAATTTAATATTTGAATATTTATTTAGTAACTATTTATGGTTTTAATCAAAAATCATGTTTCAAAAATTTATAATTTTTCATAAATGTAGTTTTGGTGTTTTTATACTTTAACAATTATATATTATATTTGTTTTTGTAAATTTTGGTTTAACCGCTATCGTACTCGCTGATCAACCAGTCGTAAATCTCCCGCAAACATACACATTTTCAACCGCCAAATCAGTCAGTCAAAACGCAAAATAACGCTTGAAACCGCAACCGCCCGCTTCCGCAAACTCCCACAGCCGCAACTGCAACCGCTGCGTTTAAACCAGTCAAGGCCAAACCTTTAAACCAAACTTTCATCTCATTTTAGGTTTACATTGTTGACGAAGTTCGATATCGGTTTAGGTTTAGTAGGTAAGGGATAGGGTTTAGTGTAATATATTTAAAAGAAGTTAAATATCGGTTTGGGTTTAGTAGATAGGGGTAGAGTTTAGTGTTATATATTTTAAAAAGTTAAATATCGGTTTGGGTTTAGTATGTAGGGGTAGGGTTTAGTGTTATATATTTAAAAGAAGTTAAATATTGGTTTGGGTTTAGTAGGTAGGTGTAGGGTTTAGTGTTAAACCTTTAAACCAAATTTTCATCTCGGTTTAGGTTTATATTGTTGACGAAGTTAGATATCGGTTTGGGTTTAGTCGGTAGGGGATATGGTTCAGTGTAATATATTAAAAAAAAAAGTTAAATACCAGTTTGGGTTTAGTAGGTAGAGGGTAGGGTTTAGTGTTATATATTTAAAAGAAATTAAATATCGGTTTGGGTTTAGTAGGTAGGGGATAGGGTTTACTAGGTAGGGAGAAAGGTTTAGTGTTAAACTTATAAACCAAACTTTCATTTCGTTTTAGGTTTATATTGTTGACGAAGTTAGATATCGGTTTAGGTTTAGTCGGTAGGAGATAGGGTTTAGTGTAATATATTTAAAAGAAGTTAAATATCGGTTTGGGTTTAGTAGGTAGGGATAGTGTTTAGTGTTATATATTTTTAAAAAAAGCTAAATATCGGTTTGGGTTTAGTATTATCGGTTTGGGTTTAGTAGGTAGAAAGTAGGGTTTGGAGTATCTAGTGTATGGTTAAAGTTGTGATTCTTGCATCACCAATGACACTCTTTTTCATTAAAAAGACAATTGATGAAAGCTATACACATGAATCATTTGTGTTCAAGTGTTTGTCATGTTTCACCATAACTCCACATGGTCAAATTTAAGTGAACAAGTTATCATGATAAAGTTGATTTAAAAACAAAGCATAAGGGTAAGTAAAAGAATGATTATTTTGACCAAAGAGATATTGTATGGATAATCCATCTTGAACATATTCTCATGGATCGTCTGTTCCTTACCATATACTTGTTCACCGCTAAATGGTCGTGTGAATATAGTGTCCATTTTTGAATATAATCATATGAATATCACCATAGGAATGATCCTATATTTTACAGTTCTTAAGTTCAAATGTTTTAGCTCCACAAACAGAAACACTAAAGATGAGTAACACCAAATTTAAACATTGTTCACCAAAATCAAATACAAAAACACTTCATAAGTTGGCGAACATATCTTCGAAGGGTAATGGACGGATTCCTATGGTTGACAATCCGCAAGTACACATTTGTATATGACATTTAGGAGTGGAGGTGTATCCATGTAACATCAAACAAATGGATATAGTGTAAGAAATGACGGTATATCCATCTAGCGGCGAACAAATGGATAAGCATTTTTATGTCTTTTCGTAAACCTATCTTGACATCCAGGAGCCACCTTACCTACCATGTACTTAAGCAAACGATCTAATAGATCGGTGTCGCCGATCAGCTTCCTCAGCTTTTGACCTCAACTCTGACCTAAGTATCAAGTATGGAGTTTGCATTTTTCTCCTTCTCACTGTCATTCTTAACATGTTTTTTTAGCTACTTGGGCTTCCCTAGCAGTTTTCAGAGAAAATTTAACCCATCATTCAAAAAAATTCTAAAACAACACGACTACCAACCGTAAGAGCCTAATCCACTAAATGGTCGATTTAATCTCAAGCAAAATCGCGAATTATGACCAGAATCAAATAGTAACAAACAAGCTGAACAAATATATATGAAATTCAATACCAGAATTGGCTAATTTAGTCTTTCCTACCTCTTCTAACTAGAGCTCACAGCAGCCACCGCAGCCTAACAGAACGGAGCTTCAAAAAAGCCATAAACATCAACCAATCTTCTTACAAAACCACCACAAACCCAGCTTTATGCGTCCAATCACTCTCCGTCTAGCAAATGACATCCAATTCAAAAATGATGGCAATAAATTCAACAGATCTAACAAGAATAAATCTAAACTGAAGGATAAAATTAAGAACCCATAACAAAAAAAAAAAAAGTTTCAAGATTTACAATCTAAAAACTTAATCTAGCATCAAAGAATCACATGTACCATTGATCCATACGAAATCAACTCTTTATGATTCAAAACCAAAAAACGAAAGTAAGACAAGAGAGAAGAACATATAACCAAAAGAAGAGGGAGATTAAGGGAAGAGGCAGTTTGGTAGAGGAGTTAACAATCTCCTGCTTCTTCGTATCAAAAAAGAAAAAAGGGTAAGAAAAAATAGAGAGAGGCGGTACTATGCCTTTTTGGGTAAATAAATTGTGTTTATAGTCTTGATCATCAGATCTTAGCTAGAACTTAAACGTTAGGTTTCTTCGTTCCTCATTTTTCAAGGGCAAATTGGTCACAAATTCAGTAAAAGAGTTGGAAAAGTGCCTCTTCCTTCGAAAGTGTTCCATTTGAATAAACTTTGTCAAAAAGTGCTTCATTCCGCAAATCTTCCTAAACTAAAACGCGAAATTTTTCAAAATTGGAAAACGACATGTATATACTTTTACAACACGAACTGTAAACAAAAAACAACAAAATATTTTATTTATAGCCATTTATAAACCCCGAAATTCACCTAAGCTCTAAAATTTTCAAAGTGAAAAACCAAAATTGACGAACTCTAATTTATCAAAGTGAGATTCTTTGAAGTTTGTGTAAAGTCAAAATCGATTAAAAAAAATTCTGAAAATGCTATGTTTTGATGTAACCGTAATTCGTCTAATTTTCACGACAGATTTTAACAGATTGAGAGAAATTTGCATTAATAGATTTTAAGTTAAGGAGTTTTTTCGCCAAAAATCTATATATAATAGCAATCTAATAAATACCATTTGCACATCTGAACGGTTGCGTCTTTTTATCGCAACCTTTCGTTTAAATCGGTTATTTTTTTACGGTTATTTTGGTTGCGTCTTTTTATCGTAATTTTCGTTTTAATCGGTTATTTTTTTACGGTTATGTCGTTTCCAATAAATACCATTTGTACATCTGAACGGTTGTGTCTTTTTATTGCAACCT